CCATTGTATCTTCTGACCTATGATTAAGTTAACTATCGTTTCTATTTCAAACACATCCTGCAATTCTCTGTTATATCCCCTTCGCCAATCTTTCGTACGGATGTATAATTAAGGTGCACAAATTGTTCTCCATACTTTATTTTCAAATATCCTCAGATTTTATAGCATTGTGCCAATTGTTGACTAGCTGTTGTTGATGCCTCACATAATTTAATTAGTATAAATAATTTAAGTATATTATCTCATGTTATTATAATGGAGGTGGTAAGTATTCAAATATGTTACAGCCTTTTAGACGTTCCGTAGTAATAGTTGTGTTTGATTAGTTTCATAATTGGGTAGGCAATTATATGTAATGGAAAATAATTTATAGGGTATAAATAATTTCGAGTGACATTATCATAATAGTATGAAGCTCATACCATTTTTGTGTATTCAGTTTAGTTTTTATTCAAACTTTTAAGATAATTAATACTGTTATAATTTTATTTTATTTTTCGCTTCCATTATATGAAGTTGTCATTAAACTTTATTATGGCATTGTTATGTATAATTTTATGTTGAACTTGTTTTTTTTTTTTTTTTATTAAGATTAAGACGCTATTTTAAATCTAAATTAAAATACATTAACATAATTATTCATATTATATAGATAAGTTAATTGAGAAAACACATTTTGGTTTTTTTTTTACCTTGTGTAATTAATTCATAATATTTTAAACAATCTTTCAAGACAATGAGTATACTAAGGTATCTATATTTTATGTTATCATTATATTTTATTGTATTATGATACATGTATTGTATATATATTTATAATCATAATTTTAATGTAATTTAAAATTAACTATAATGAATATGATATAAAATAATATGAAAAAATGTTTTATCTAAAAAATTAGCAGAAATATGTTCTTAATTAACTTTTAGCCGTTTAAAACTGTTAGGTATATCTAATAAGATCGGTAGACCAACAAGATTCAATGATTATATTTCTTTGTTTATTTAATCCAATAATTGACGATTTAAAATAAATTTGTAATTAGTCTCATAAGAATGCTTTATTGGGAGCAAACATATTACTGTGTGCTATTAGACAAACAGAATTTATACTAACATCATATAAACCGGGAAACGTGTTAAGTATATTTTACCATTAAGTAAGTTTCTTCAGACAAAGAATATAGATCTGATTGAAGCTATTTAATTCACTGATGATGTGGCAAATATAATTAAAAACTATATTTGGTAATGAAAAATCTAAATGTAATGACTTCAGCATAGAAATATATATTACTCGTATAGTGTACAAGCAAAAAAAAACAGATACGATTTATTGGTTGATTTGCCTGAAAATTATTACAAACTATCTCCATTCAATCTATTTGTAGTTAATTTCTTAAATCAATTAAACGAGTGATTTTTATTTCACAAGTTTTTAGTTGAAAATGTTAACTTTATTTCACCATCATCCGATTGTAAGACTCGACAAAGAAAAAATAAAGCACTCATTTAAAATATATCGAAATAATTTAGATGCAGCGAGTTAACAGCTGTAAGTGAAATTGAAATATGACCACGAAAATGTGCAAGTACTCAAGATTTACCGAAAAATGCTATTGAAGCTTTTCAAAAATTGAATATATAAATTTTCTTTTATACTTTCAAACTTCTAATTTTATCAACTCTCTCAGTTATAAGTTGTAACTTATAACTACTAGCTGTGAACGATATTTTTCAACATTTAATAGAATAAAAACATATTTACGAAACACCACGTGTGAAATTAGATTGAATGGTTTGATAATGTTGAATATACAGCAATATAATGTTACATCCTGATGATGTCCTAAATAAATTAGCGTGCAAAACAAGAAAACTGCGGTATAACAAAATTAAAAATATTTTTATGTGTATCTGTTATATACATATAAACTCTAAACCCCTCTCCATTGAACATTTTTAACTACGCTTATATATGTATGTAAATTAATCTAAGTCTTGTTGGTAAAGGTTGCAAGGATAATTTACGATCCATACAAAAATTAGAAAAATACGATTGATAATGTACTTTTATTTTATAAATTATAATTGTGAATTTATGTTACGAAATCGAGCGATAAACAATAACGAATTTCATGCGAATACTCCATCGAATGGAGAGTCGCGAACAAGAAAACCAGTTAAAAAAGTTAGCACAGTGTATTTATTTCTTATATCCAATTGAAAATTTAACTTCGTCTCGAAACTTTTAGGAATAAAAATTTACAGATCAAAAAGCAACTGCAAAAAAATATTATGGTCTTTTTGGCCTAAAGTACTCGTATTTTCTCTTATTTACATTCGGTAAAGAGAATCTGCGATTGATTCGAGAAATAGCGTGTATGCATGTGCATGTAAAAATATACGTTTATATATAATAAATATGTTTATGTATGGGTGAACATTTGAGAGAAAAGAATTCACACTATAGTAGTTAAGGCACCACCGAAAGAGGACACGATTTGTTTCTGTTGCCACAACATCCTTTTGGCAAGACCAATTTAGAACTGTCTATTTTTTGTGTGTGTTTGTATATTATACGTATTTACGCATAGTAAATATATATATGTTTACAGATAGGAGGTCAGTAATGTTCTATAACCGCATTCAGTTCTCGTTAAAAACTTTTGACCCCCCACAAATGTCGTCTCCACTGTCACCTAAAAACTAAGGTTTAAATCTCTTGGGTGAACGTAAGCTTCCATGCATACTATATGCCATCTTCCCTTTGTAGTTATTCCAATTTTACGGACTCAGTTTTATACAGCCTATATTAGTGGGCTAGTCTAAAATCCAATAAAGACGGAACAAATAGACAGGAAGATAATATATTGTTTCGATATAGGTACGTGGCTGCTCTTTTTCGATTTTCTTTTCCTTTTTCATTCAAATGTCAACATTCAGACAAAGTAATATATATATGTTTGTGTGTGTGTGTGTGTGTGTGTGTGTGTGTGTGTGTTTGTGTATGTATGTTTTTTCTGTATTTATATACGAATTGGATTATAGTGCATTTTTTATTATAGTATTATAACATAAAATACACGTGTAAGTATAATATCAACAAATATTAAGAGTCAGTTGTTGAATTGGTTTTAATTAAATAAAAAAATATGAGAAATATATAAATGATCTTAATAAAATCAAATAATATAATCAATATGTTCCATGTTATACATTTTGAAATACATATTATTTTTTTAAATTATTTTATTACATGAATACATATATACATTTATATATACAAAGAGACCCTAAAACCGATTGTATTCTAATATAAAATATTTGTGCAATTTAATTTAAAATTATTAAAATTACATAGAAGATATCAACCAAAAGATAGAAATATTTTGAGTAGATAACTTATGTTAACTAATATACTTGTTTTTTTTTATTGGACTGAAATCATCTTCGAATTTTTATTTTTTCATTTTTTGGAAGTACGTTGTATTTGAATAAAAAAATATAATGTACCAAAAATTCTTCAAAGTCAAGTGAACCATAAGTCATAAATTCCAGATAAAAGACTGCCCACTGTTCTATCTATTGATTTATTATAAAAGTATTATTAAACATATACGAGAGCTAAATGTCATAATATAATACTCGTACAACCCAATTCATTTCATTTTGATTAAACAAATACATAGCTGAATTTGTACAGTATAACATAATTGGGATTAAATTATTAATATTTATATTGAAAATGTACTTGTTTTACACTTCTTAGTACTAAACGTAAGGAATATGATTTATGTAATGTACATTATGCCTGAACCCTTTTATGTTTTTTGAGTAATGTGAAGTGTTTTCATTGTTATCACTTATGAGTAAGAAATACGATCATAGTATTCTTAATAATAATATTATGTTTATGATGTAAATTCATTAAATTAATAAAATAATGATAAAGTTTAATAACTATGAATTTTATTAAAACATGGTGAAAGTTGTTTGTGTTGTTCATAATTATTTTCCTAACAATAATCAATCGTGTACTTTGTGCGCATTGTATGTGACGTAAACATTAACCATTTGAAAAATATACTAGGTTTTATATTATTTTCGGTTCTGTGAATAATGTGTATGTTTTATAACTCTAATAAAATATTTCATTTATCCAAACCATGCGGTTGTACTTACATGTTTTATTGTAGATTTCTTTGGGGTTTTATGGTTTTTTTTTTCGCTAATATTTTAAGAATGCCTGTAGAACTGGTATTCATAAATTATTCATATATTACTTTCGTGTACCTGTACAAATATAAATCCTCGTCTTGCTCTTTGAATACAGAATAATATTCGTACTTTTTGTGAAATATTAGGACGTAATTTCTTTTTTTTTTTTGCAACCCTATGTTTCGATGCTGGTTACCAAAAACGTATAAAATAAACGTAAAAAATTCGATAACTGAATACTTAGGTTGGATCAGATTTGTTCGTATTTATATTTTCGTTGATAAATTAATACTATTACTACGGTTAAAAATGTACAGTTGTTGCAACATTTTTCAGAAACCGAAATGATTTGAAATATTAGTTAAAAATGTGTTTCATTAAAACAACCCGTTAAAATGTAATTTTTTTTTTTTTAAATTACGTACAATTTTTGTTCTTTTTTATAGCTTTGTATTTATATATATACACATAAATATGTTGTATGTAAAAAATAACTCAATAAATCTATTTATTAAATTATTACTTATAATTATTATTGTTTTACCTAATCATTTTATAGCAATTGATAAGAATTTATTATATTTAAATTATTTATTTAAATCCTTATAACATAATGAAAATCAAATTATAATTTTACCTATAAATTTCAAATTATTTGTTGAAAATGTGCATATTTATAATTCGTTTTATAACAAATATTATCTAAATTATTGTTATTATTATCGAATTATGGCGTCATCTAAATTATGTTACTGATCTTTATGAATGTTTTGTTTCAGAAGCAGACTATACGCTGGACGATTCGTATTGGAACCAGGAGAGTCCCGTTGGTGAGTTTCAGTTGAATTCACATTACATTTTCCTACGTTCTGTATTTTCATTATTTTGACAAATTATGAATTTTTATTATAACAATAATTATTTCTATAAACAAACACATACACACACATTTTTTACCCACGTCGACCAGTTTACCCCCTGTTGCTAATAATTTATGCATTCAAATTACTCCCATGCCCGTTGTTATTAATTTATTTCATTCGTATGCGTCCGGTGTACAAACAAACATAACACTCATTTATCTATTCTGTATTCTGAACGATCTATGTGTTAAAAACGTATTAAACACGCAGTTAATTTATTAAAACGGGACAAGTATGACTTGCAATTAGTGGTTTTTGTAGGGTTATTCAACCAGCAGTATAATAAATGAACGACACAACGATATTTCTGGTACCCTTCGGAATTAACCAAACTTAGTTTAACAAACTCGTTTTCGTAAAAAATATTTCTATTATATATAGTCAATAGAAATTATAAATATAAATCCGTAGAGCCTAGTAATAATGTGAATTAATTTTGATTTTAAAACTTTAGCTTTTAAAATGTTCAGTACTCTGTATAATGTAATTAAAATTACTTATTAAACAAAAGTAATGATAATAAACGTTGATAAATAGGTAACATGGATGAAGTATATTAAAAAAAAAGTTTGTTTTAAAAAAATATGGGTAAAAGTTTAATGAATATCCGTTACTAAACAATTAAAACAATTAAAATTAATATTGGGAAAAAATTATTTTCCTACACGTGTATAACACGTGTACACGTTTATATTCGTATAACTCAACCACGGTTTTATAATTAATTCTATACAGTTAATTTGTTAAATAGTACAAGTATACCTATATATCATAATATAAACTATATAAGTGTATATTTTTTAAATACATAAATTATATGAACGTCATAAATTATAATTTATGACATACATGTAGTGCAACAATTGATGGTTACATTAAAGATTGAAATTTTACTATAGGTACTTAATTTATATTGATTTTCAATATATATCTATTAGGTGTATTAAACCTTTTAAAATTCCGTTGTATTCATGTTCTGATTGTTGTACCTATTATTCGTATTTTGCACTTAAATGTACGTATTATTATTGATCGTAGCTGACTTTTTAGATTCCGACGGTATTGTGTAGGATTATAGTTAGCCGTCTATTTGGAATGAATCAACTACAGGAAAATTGTTGGCCATTGTGAACATGTATAGTATGCTCCTATAACGTGGGCGGTATACTCCTAACGCGTGGGTGTGGACCATATGAAACTTTTCAGCTGATGAAAACGTTGAATCGTGAGTTGGTTTTGGAATTCGAAACCGATGGGGGATGTGCTGATAAGAATTTTGATTCCCAGAGACGACAATAAAGGAAGGAATCGCATGTGCAACGAACACTTCATAAAGTTTCCATGCGATAACAAGAGGTATGACTTAATTTAAAGCACTCATGCGTTTAAGACCTTCAAAAGTTCTCAAAACTACTGACTTTTTGGCACAAAATATAATTCATTTAATGTACATATATTGACAAGTTTTCAATCATTGCTATAAATAATTTTTTAATTCAATATTTAGATTATAAAATGTATTAAGAGATATTCATATAATTATGGAGAAAAAAAGGAACAACTTTTAAGTTTCTGATGAATAGATATGAAACGAGTATATAATTTATGCTTTATTTTTTTAAATTAAAAATCGTGTGTTATTCTATGATAAATGCAAAGTCAAAATAAAAAAGTAGTATATTTTCATTGTTCTGACCTACCTATAAGTATAAATAATAATTTTAACTTGTCAACTGTCTAAATATACTGACTGATATCCAAATGCAAGTTAATTTATATAGAAAAAAAATTAATTCTCTCAATAGTAAAGAATCTCTTTGACAATGAATATTTTATCATGCAAAATAATAATATTTGAAAATTTTCGTACACACATTTGTGGTACTCGTTTTCAGAGATACAACATATTACGGTTACAAACTTACTTACTAATTTAGTATATATTCTAATTCTGCTGATAGCATTGGAATGGATTAAATATTAGATAATAGATTTGATTTAATAAACGGAATTTCAGGATCTTATATAAAATCAATGATATCAATTATTTTTATCACTTTCATTCAAACGAGTTTCATAACGCCTTTGTTTAGTATATAATTTACAAACTATCAAGTCACGATAAAAATTTAAACAAAAATATATGTGTAATTATTGAATAAATAATGAATTTTTAAATACCTATATATGTATCGTGGATGATCATTTAAATTATTATTTTTATAAAATTAGATAATATAAATTCATTCTTATATATTTATATATATATATGCATAAAATTATAACCATAGCATACAAATATATTAATACTTAAAACTGAAAGTTAATTATATAATTATAGAGAGTTGAAATCACTTGATCACACATTAAATTTATATTACTTTATTTTATATAATTTGTTTTTCTTATACTTTTTTTATAAAATCGAAAATCAAAACATTTAGTTTATAATAATGTGAGCTGCACATGAATTTAAATAAGTTTACATTATTGATAAGATTTAATGTTCGAAGACATAATAGTTTTTGAATTTAACCTCTAATACTATTTATCCATGCATTAAACATAAAAATCATGTGAGTATCGACAACTTAGAAACATATTATTTATAATCACAGATCGTGTCGTATTATAATTTAATTAATTTAGAGTACAGAATCATAGTTGTTTAATTATAAAAAAAAAAAAAAATAAATCATAGATTTTATTCGCATGCCGACATCAGTGTTTATTTTTTTATAAATCAAGTGACCACGTACAATGACAATAGAGAACTGTTTGAAAGTTTGAACCGTAGTATGACATTGGCACTCATGAATATAGTGGAATACAAACAAATTACATGGTTATGTGGTGGTTGCGGTGGCGTCGTGCAGTGGTTACTTTGATGTTTTAATAATATCATTTTGTCGCAAATAATGTGATTGTGGTGTCAGAGGCAACGGCAACAAACCGAAAACGTGTATATCGGTACGAGAGTATGTAAGATATAAGTTACAAACTCGGGCAGTATGTTTATAGTTTGGTGTTTTATGCGGGACAGGGCAAGCGAAGGGCTCTCGACCCAGAGAAAACGGCCGCGATGATGGTGGTGGTATATATAACAAAATTATACCCTCTTTTTCGACCTGCCAGCAGAGCCATGCACTTGTGACATTTTCAACAATGCACAGGGTGTACGTAGAGTGAGTACAATAGGAAAGGAAAGGACGTCATAAAGAAAAACGATACTTAGCCCCCTGGACTCGGGTAACACTCGACTTTTAAGACAATGGGTCGAGGGTTACAGTACGAAATTGTATATACGAAACAGGCGGAGGACTCTCTTTTCTATGTCAATTGGCGAGAGGGCAAGGGTGACCTATTATTGTTATTATTACTGTGGGTCGTATCCACTGTCGTCACCGCCATCATGTTCCTCGCGAATGGCCGTCAGTGTGTGTAGGGCTATACATTGACAACCTTTTCAAAGCGAACTACTCGGGTCACCGATATTTCTGGTTGTGCTACGATGGAAAGAAAACGAGATAGGAATGCGCGAGATAATAGTTGCACTTAAAATGGAAAATTATTGTTTTTTTTGTTCACAATAAAACTATAATTATAAATAAAATAATGATTATAAGCTAATAGTTCATAAATAATTGCTAACGTTCTTCTAAAAAAAACAAAATGTAACATTTTATTTTGTATTTAATCTATACACGTGGCTACATAATGTAGTCCAAAAGTAAAAATATAAAGTTTTAGTGAAATATAGAATTTATAAAATACAAATTTTACTAATGTTATTGAATAATATTGGTAATATTATAACAAATTATTATGGTATTCATGATAACTATTTATAGACTAGATCGTTTTTTATAGTTTTGATTTGGCACTTTGATTATTTATGGTTTCAACATGAAAGTACACTAGGTAACATAAACCTATGTTAGTATAAATATCTTCAAAATTGAAACAATTGTAAAGATCAATTACACTACATTTTATATTGAACAAGACTAAATTATAATTTTATACTTTAAAAAAGGCACTCGTAGTTTTAAAACGTTAAACGTATTTATTTATTTATTTGAAGAAAAACCAAGATGATTACCCAAAACAGAGGAATTTATTGGATGACAACAAAGTATTACAACTATCGCGGTTATAATTGGTGCAAAAAAAGTATAACTTCGATGAAATCAGAATAATTTTTGAGTCTCAAATACAGCTGCTGGTATTATTAATGGGTTAAACTTATTGTTTGAAAAGAAAATATTTTTGTTTGAGAGAACTTTTTCGATAAATATTTTGAGATTAACTAGCTTTAAATACTGCATTTGACACGCTAACTAATATATTAGCATTGTTGCTCAATGAAATAAATTCTCTTCAATTTTATCATATCACCCCTCATTTTCGAATACTATGTTGTCCAATACTACATTTTTTATCATTTTTTCTTAATTTGAACTTGCTAATTGTTTATTCTGAAAGAGTTATATTGTGTGCAAAAAACGTTGATATCAATGAAATGAATTTTCAGATTCAAAATAAGATAGCTGGTAAATTAATGACATACAAGTCGATTGATTCCGTTATTAACCAAGATGATGTTGTCAACTATCCATTGGAATTTTATTAAATTCACCGGAATTGCCTGGCTTACCACCTCATAATTTGCAATTAAAAATCGAATTGGTAATCATTATGTTGCGGAATATTAACCACCCACGTCTTTGTAATGGCACCCGAATTGCGGTGAAGAAATTAATGAACAACGTCTTCGAAGTCACAATTTTGAAACGGAAGTACAAAGGCGAAAACGTTTTGATTCCACGGATTCCTTTGATTTCGAACGATTTCGACTTTAAACGGTTGCAATTTGAAGTGAGGCTAGCATTTGAAATGTCGATACA